ACATGACTGCGGGACTCCATGTGAGTTGGAATGCATGTGTACTGATAGATATTCAAGATATCGATGCATCTGGAGGGCCCATGAATTCTCAGCTGAAGGATTCTACCAGGTAAGTGTTCATACCACGACAGTTCAGATTGGTTACAGACCTTGGTAGAAATCATGCACAGGAGTCCAGCCTGTTTTGATTGTGTACCTGAATGCACCATCATGTATTTGCCGGAAATCCAGTCGCTGGAAAAGGGCCAATGGGTCTCTTGAAGGAGAAGTACATCGATAGTTTGATTCTCCAGCCACATCATCAGAAAATCCCAGTGTGCTGGGGGGAGTCCATTGGAGTTCCATGAGAAGCATGTCAATCGCTTCCGCTGGATCGATTTCGGCGGGGCCACATTCGGAGAAGGCTGTAATGTCGGTGGAGCCTTCATTGTGACCCCCATCTGTTTGGCTGTGAGCAGTTTCCCTTTGTACCAGGTCACTCCATGTAATTCAGCACGATGAAGTGCCCGCTTGTAACTCCTTTTGCAAACCTCACGTTGTGAGCCAGTCTGTGATCCTAAGATCTGTTGGGGCCCCATTCCATGTTGTTTTGCAGGGAGGCCAAAAGTGCAGTAAGTGATGGTAGTCCCTGCTCTTGTGTCACCCATGGATGTAACACAACCCTCACCCCACAATGGAACACCGAAAATCAGAGAATGCTGAATAGGAACCAATGAAGGTCTAAAGCAATTCAGGTGTTCCAAAGCCCGGAATTGGGACCGGGTTGCACCGCCAAATGGTGGCAAGCTAGTGGTCCAGGCCGCAATGTGCTCAGAATGCAAGTCCAATAGTAGCAAAAATCCCAAAATGAAACGCAACATCCACCAAAGAAATCAGCGCAAGGGCGCTTTAGCCAGCAGGCGCGAAATCAGATGTTATTGTGAATCAAAAAGCCAGTAGAAGATATACTGAAGGAAGAAGCACCCACGGTCAGATGAACAATGCCAGTCCTCTGTTAAAGTCCACAATGGCAGAGAAGGTCACCAGCAGCAAGGCAGCGCAACAGCCGCGCACAGCAGCGCCGCACGCCACAGCAACGAAGCGCCCCACGCCGTCGCACTACCAAGAAGACACGTGGATGAACTGCTACCAGGGCAAGGCCATGAGGGCACCACTCGCGGGTGCAAAGGGGCTTGTGTGCGTGTGTGCGTGTGTGCGTGTGCGCGTGTGCGCGTGTGCGCGTGTGCGCGTGTGCGCGTGTGCGCGTGTGCGCGTGTGCGCGCGTGTGTGCGTGTGTGCGCGTGTGCGCGCGTGTGCGCGCGTGTGCGCGCGTGTGCGCGTGTGCGCGCGTGTGCGCGCGTGCGCGTGTGTGCGCGTGTGCGCGTGTGCGCGTGTGCGTAGTTTCGTGGGGTGCGGGGGGACTTGTGGGGTGGGACAGTTGGGGTGTGACTGTGTGTGTGGTGTGTGGTTCGTGGGGGTTAGTGTCGGTGAGAGGGGGGTGGGTGGGTGTGGGTTGGGGGTGTGGGGTGGGGGTGTGTCGGGTGTTGAGTGGGTGGTGGTGTGGGTGTGTGTGTGTGGGTGTGTGGTGTGCGTGTGGTGTGTGTGTCTGTGCGTGTGTGTGGTGTGCGTTGTTGTGTGCGTGTGCGTGTGCGTGTGTGCGTGTGTGTGCGTGTGCGTGCGCGTGTGCGTGTGCGTGTGCGTGTGCGTGTGCGTACGTGTGTGTCTCCCGGATGAAGACGCTCTTTCACATGCACAGCCAATTGCTCTGGACTTGTAGCCTTAAAGATAGCAAGTGCTTCATCTGCTGCAGCTTTCGTGGTATAACTGGTGGGCCTTCGGGCAAGTTGCCCATGTAAAAGTTCTCAAACTCTGTTCATGGTAACTGGGGCTTTGGTTTTTGCAACTGGGGCCTTGGTTTCTCATCAAGGCTTCATCTGTGTTTGCTATGTCAAGCTCAACGTGTAACAAAAAGTTTCTGTATTTTTGGCAAGTTAACTTTCTCTTGGCATCCTGTTGGCCAAAGAACACTTGGTCTTGGAGTAGTGGTGATGTATGCTTGGCAGCTCAACACTCAACACCTTCAACAATACTACTTTTATGATGCAATACTTTTATGTGTGCAACATGCCTAAAAGAGTTACTAGTTTTTGGTCATATGGATGCAAAAGCATTCCCCTTGAAACTGTATTTGCCAATGGGGAGCAGCAAACAACAGGGAGCTTACTATTTTTTTGATATCAGGACACACAGCCCACAGTTTTACTGAGGCCATGTTTTCCCAAAGTTAAAAGGCAGGGGACCTAACACAACAACCATGGACCAAGGACCAAGCACACACACACACAAATTGCCCCAACACAAGCACAGCTCCAGAGTCCAGAGCAGCCATTTTTCTGCAAGGGCTGAGGGAGCATCTGCAAGCTTCCGATCTTGGTTTCAAGACCAAAGACTGTGCAACCAAAGACCGTGCGACCAAAGACTTTGCAACCCAAGACCCAGAACCCAACGACCGGCAACCTATGGGCCAGGCTGTCGGTGTGTCAGGTGGTCTTCAATGTGGGGCAACAGATCTTTGCAGCCGCAGATTGTAGGCCAAACAAGAAGCCCAACCCCATCATGGCTGAGGAACTGGCCTGCAGCATGTGTTTCATAGTCAAGCAGCAATCCCTTGATATCATCTCTGATGTTGGTGAGCCAGAGGGTGCTGTGCCGGATCATTTTGTGATCAAAAGGCATCACAATGGAAGAGCTGCTGAAGCGGTTGAAGCTCTTGTATGGGGTGTCCTGGATCTGTTTGTCCTGGAGCAAGTTGTCTGCAACAGCAAGAATTGAGGCATGGGCTTTTGCAAGGAGCTTGGACCAGTAAGGGTTGTCCTCGAACATGTCTTGCAGGAACTGAATGACCCGGATCCACTGCTGCATGGTATAGGTGACAACATGCTCATACTCATGATTTGGGTCTCCGAAGCCCTCAGACAGCAGGTCCCTCATTTCCTCCACGTGCTCTTTCAGGACATGGCCATTCGGCATGGTAGGTGGCCAATGACCAAGGACCAAAGACCCTGGCCACCAAGGACCAAGGACTAAAGACCAAGGACCAAAGAGACCAGCGCGCACCGAATCCAACTAACTAGCCCTGCTTGAGTCCTGCAAGCAGCACAAAGTTTTGGGAAATTCAGCCAAATCATGCCAGTGAGATCACAGATCCAAAGATTGGAACCAAGGACCAAAATTTTGTGCAAGTGAGTTGCGTGACCAGCACTGTGAAAACAGCATTGCGCCAGCACGGGTCGCTAGTTGTGCAGCCAAGCCTAGGAACAATGCCACCTCACCCGCGAGCGTTACTTATTCCCAAAGTCTCAGCATCTACCAGCTAGCTTAAGCAGTACCACGCATCGCAATGCACGCTGCGCCAGCCCATTATGCTAAATTAAATTAGCTCCTTCCTCCTCATCATTCCTCATCATCAGTGCAGCAACGCGTGCTGTCAATGACCACCCGCAATCTTCCTGCCTGTAGGCAAGCTCTCGGATCACCCCACGTCCTTGAATCATGTACCGAAACATGCTAGATTAAGATTTCCAAAGATCAATCAATCTTGGGAGAACCATGAACTCCAAAAAACCTTTATCAAATCAGTTCCATCAGGGGGTGGGACCCTTTGAATTCAAATGTGTGCCCAGCAACACCAAACTAGCAGTTTAGTTGAACTCCTTAATGCTGTGTGTGTGACCCACCACAAAGGCTCCAAGATAACTAGCGATTGAATTGAAAGGCAGTTGCAATTTTGAAAGGGGTGTTAATTCGAGAATGAAGAAAATAAGTTCAAAAGATGGCACCCACAAAAACAAGTGTAATTATCTCTATATATATATATATATTATCTTTATAAAATGCACATTGGACCCCAAAAACAACATTGGACCTGTGAAGGGGAATTCAGAACTAAATTCACTTCTGATTGTGTTTCCACTTGACAGGTAGGTGGTTCAACAACTACAACCGTGGGTTTGTGCTTTTGTTTTCACATATGCCATGTTTACATGGTTCATAGAAGTCAGCAAGGGGCATGAATATTTGTGATTTTTTATATACGCCCTGTATCACAAGGCCTTTAAATAATTAGAAAGCATTTGCTGGAATGGTGCAATGCAAACGCAGGTCCTATAGGTCCTAGAAATCAGTGAAGAATACGATAAGATTGACCCCAAACATGCGTTTTTGTGGCTTTACTTGGCACAAAAACTGCATTAGGTTCTAGTGCCATGATTTTATGATCTGCAACTGATGAATATTTCAAGAAGACGATAGTCATGAGTCATGACGAATGTCTTTGGCTCTTTTACATCTATGTTGTTGTTTCCCTCATTAACATATTTCTTTAATTATATTCTACGGTTTTCGGTCTTTGGTCCTCGGTCCACTTGCCCTGTTTAGGCCAGCCTTGCCTAGCCAGTGCCTGCTGCAGCAGCAGCAGAGGTGCCTGTCTAGGGTTGGGACGGGTCATGTAGGGAGGTCCTTGGTTAGACACCTTTTAAGGAAGTCCTTGGTTGGGTCTCCTTGGTCCTAAGTCCGATGATATGTTTGATTATTTGTTTCATGTCACGTTGACACCCAACAGCCAAACAAATTGCACCAAACGTGTACCGGAAACAGTTCCTAAAAGAACCGCCGTACCGGAAACCACCCATTGCGGAACACAGCTGCTGCAAGATGGTTGATTTTTCTCGCTATTGTCTTCGAACTTGTACCTTCATGTGCCACGAGCTGTCTGGCAAGTGGCTGAAGAAGGGGTTTTGTCAGGATAAACCAATGGTGCCCGGTCAGGATTCACATTGAGGAGCCATGGGGTTGCCAGGTCAGCTTCAGGGCCTGGTGGACCAAGAACCGAGCACCTTTGCACCAAGGACCGAAGACCTGCAGCTGCCCTGTGGTAGCCGTAGCGTCGATCATCAATAACATTGGCAAAATACTTGAAGCGTTCAATTTCAGCAGCAGTCATAGATGGTCCAACATGGCGATCAGGAGAGAAAGTCCGGATACTGTCCAAGCAGTCTGCAGGAAGGACACAGAGCGGGGGCTGCTGCAACTGCGTGTCTCTCATATATGTTTTGATACAGCACATGACATCCTTGTCACCTGCTGCGCCAAACCAGCGATGATGGGTGGCCTTTGCTTTCTCTTCCCCAGTTAAATCCATGAACAGCTTGTAGCAAAAACTATGGGGCGCCTCAATGCCATGGCGAGTCTGCCAGCACCCGTGCTGGGTGACCCCAAGGGGCTTCAACCACTCAGCAAAAGACCTCACAGAATTTAATTCTGTTACCTTGAAATCTTCATGGCGTGCGTGAAATGCGGGTGCCAGCACAGCTTCCATGTATTGCTTCAGGTCTTGGACAGTCTCATATCGATACCTCCGGATGACTTGGGAGACCAAGAGTGAGAAGATTTGGTCAATATCTTCATGTGTGTGTCCAACCATGAGAAAATTCATGGTCACTGATTGGAAAATTTGTTTTCCAACCACATACGCGCAAAAAGCTCCCACGAACCCATTCTTGGCCTGGGCCACTGTGTTGTCGACTTGCAGAGCCAGATGGCGAGGTAAAGGCTTAGAGCCACGAAGCTGATGGACCTGCTCAATGACTTGGCAAAGCACTTCGCAATGCATCAGCTCCATGGGTCAATTCATCTGGGGCTAGGAACCATGAAGTGACGTAACCATGGGCCAGTGCAGCAGTCACAACCACCCTTGGACGTGCACCCAATTTCTCGATTTCTTTGCTGGGGCGGTCAAATGACCACTTTGGCCAAACTGTTTTCTTTTTGTCCATGCTGTCAATGATGATTGTCAATATGTCAGACCCAGGCTGCCGCGAACAATGCCTGAGATTCCAATAGATCTGGCGGTCCAAATATTGCTGCTGCAAGTGGACCCTCCATGCATCTGCCAACTCCAATTTCTTTTGAGGACTTGTGTGCTTTGCATACAAATCTGTTTGCAAGTCAAAGCAAGTCTGGCACTGTGCGTGGTCTGACTTGGCACGGGGTCGCAGAATGTCATGCCATCTCTGGTACGCACGCCAAAAGGTTGACCAGGATGCTGGAGCAGATCTACCAAGAACCGACGACCCAGGACCAAGAACCTGAGAACCCAGGACCTGTGAACCCAAGACCTCAGTTGGGTGGCCGTCTGCAATGCGTGCCTCATGCCATGCCAAGTATTGCCAATACAAGTCTGTGGGTGTACCATGTGGCAAGTACCGCCTCAATGCATTCACCTTCCCCCCGCAATTTTGGATGACGAATTCCACAGGGGATGATGGCTGGCACCAATCCATGAGTTTCTGGGTTGCATCTGCCTCTTCATCCAAGCTTCCGCCGTCTTCAGGTACTACCTGCTCGTCTTTGCCACTGATGGCAATGAAAGCAAAAATCAAGGGAAGAAAATTACCATTGCAAAATTGAAATCAAGCAAAGCCAAGAACACAAACTGAATCACTGCTGCTGTGAAAACCAATAGCAAGAGGCTCTGCTGCAGATTGATAGATGTCCCGAAGAAATTCATCCACTTTGGCTTGTTGAGGACAGAAAGTTGGCTTAGCACCAGACTCCTTCCGGCGCATGTCTGGTTGCCCAAAAATCATTTTGTAAAACGTCTTCTTGCTCACTCCAAGCAAGCGGCAAAATGCTGCAACACACACCCGCACACCTGAAACTTCCAAGTAAGTTTTCTGGTGTCTCTCAGAAATTGTCAAAGCCTCCTTGTCTTCCCACTCTATGTCGGGGTGGTACAAGGCAAATAGCAAAATCTGTCGCTTTGCTTGGTCAGCCATGTGGAAAGCGTGGCACCAACCAACAGCATCTGCAAAAGAGAGTGTGCTGATGCAGTTTCGTTTGCAGGAACAGCCATCCGCAAAGACCCTTTGTATGCGATTCTTGTCCATGCCATTGGTCTCATATTGGTTCAATTCTTTGTCAGCTGGCTTTGACAGCATGAACTCTTGCCATGAAGCAGCTGAGATGCAAGCTTTGCGTTTCTTCACTACTGCTTGGGCAACTTCATCATCCACAGGAATGGTTTTCCAATCGCGCCCTTTGTCTTGGGGCACTGCTTGTGGCGACGGCTGTGCAAGACCCACTGACTGCCAGTCATACTTAATAGGATTTCTTTTTTGTGAAACAAACTCTGAAGAATGTGCGAGCACACCAGAGCTGGGCTCAGCAAGGGGAAGATCTTGCCATGGCCGCTTGACTGGGTTTTCCCCAGCAAGAGGTAAAAATCTCCAATCCATTGTGGACTTGGGCCATCAATGTAAATGATTCCATAATGGAGTAAAATGACACACATTGAAAGCATGCACAAGCAACAAAGCTCAGATGTGTCTCTGTCCCAAATACAAATTCACGAACAGCTACGTCCTCCCGCACTTGCTATCAACTGCAGACTATTATATATGCTGCTCAGCAAACTCAAAACTTGGATGCGTGACCAAGGACCAACCAAGCCCTTGTACCTATGACCCGGGACTGTGAGAACCAGAGAGTTCAAATGTCCTCTTGCCAAAAACGGCGTGGCTTTGAGGCAGAGGATGAAGGCGAATTATCATCACCTACATCCAAGCTCTGCCACGAGCGCTTGCTGGCTCGTGGCTCACCCACAGGATCATGAACATCCTGGCTGGACCATGCAGAGATGACAGCTTGGCCCAATGCAATGGGATATGCAGCGGACTCGCTCAAAAGATCCAACTTCCCTGTCACCTTGCCATCCTTCTTTGAAGTCAAGGCAATGTGGCCCTGCTGGCACTTGCACCCGACCTGCAGGTCACCAATCCATGGGTCAGAGCAGTAGAACTTGTACTGCTTCCAAAGCCGTTTTCCATCAGGAGCCTTTTCAAATGAGCATCGGTGACAAACTGCTGAGCTTGAAAGCTGCTTCATGAAGCTGGTGGGAAGGTATTGCCACAAGGTGCTCTGAGGCGGATTCTCAATGACAACTTGGACACCACGCTGCAGAGCCAATTGGCCCAAATACTTTGCTTCATTTGCAAAGAGGTTGCCTTCCTTCACTGGTTGATACGAAGTATCACCTTTGTACTGGTTGTATGGGTTGCGCTTGCAATTGCTGGCATTGAGGAAGACAAAACTTTTGCAAGGCAAACCCATCCATAAGAGACTGCCTTTGCCAAGTCGCAAAACCTTGGCCTCAGCCTCCTTGAACCCCTCCTTGGAGGTAAGGTCTTGGCCATCTGTGAGTTCTATGGTCTCGGCCTTGAAGAATTTCTCCTGGGCTGCTCCGGCAATACTGCCCACACCGGACCACAGCTCAACAACATCGAGGTCTTGGGTAATGTCCTTTGCTTCAGCCAGAGCCTTGGACAGGTTGGCTCCAAACGGATGGCGCGGCATGGTACCAAGGACTGAAAACCCAGGACCAAGGAACGAAAACCTAGGACCAAAGACCCAAAGGCTGCGGATGCTAGACTTCAACACCAAAGACCAAAGACCAAGGACCAAGCACAAGCAAAACACTCCTCAGGTTTGATTGCAAGGATTGCAATGGGCTTCCACTGGCTTGGCACACTGCACCTTTTTTTCTCACAATGCGACTGTCATACTACTAGGCTGCTACTTCTCACCCAAAACCGCAGACCTATGACCGCAGACCACAGACCTTGGACCAAAGACCAAGGACCTTAGGTCAACTGCACAATCTGGCCCTTAGTGAGCTTCACTGGCTTTGTCAGGAAAACCTTTGGCCTGCGTGGCAAAATGGTGTTCCGAGCTGTGTGGAACTCAAGGCTGAGGTACATCTGCAAATGATTTTTGGAGTGGCGGCCAGTGTTCCAATCAAAATCGCCCTTTGCAATCACAGAAGCCGCATTCTCCAACAAGATCTTTGTGTTTTTTGGCAATGGCTGTGGCAGAAAAAAACATTCCTCAGTGGGCTTGATGCTGTACTCTGTAGTCACTTGGCCTGGCTGCAAGGTATCAGGCTTCTGTGTGTACTTGACCTCATGGACCTCGATGTTGACACCCACAAGTGAATTTTCCTCCAGGTGACGCAAGAATGCAATCAAACTTTGAGGGTTCTGGGGAAAATCTGCCAAGTCCACATTGTTGCTTTCATCTTCCACTGCAAAGCAAGCTACATACTCCTTGCTGTCCATTTGCCATGGAAGCATTTGGCCTTGAAACTTGGCGATATCTTTCTTGTCCGTTGACCCGCAGAGGTATCTGCCCCAAAAATGGCACACGGGGCTCTGTGCACTCACGACACAGTCAGCAAGCCCATGCAAGTACAAATGGGGACCTTTCACCAGAAGTTCATAGTGACCATCTGGTCCGCAGAGTTGCGCGTCTGGGGACAACTTCTCAATGGTGGTGTCAACCGGCTCCAATGTCACAGCTGATTTCTCTTCCTCCTCCTGGGCTTCGGGTGCTGTTCTCTTCTTCTCTCCTTTGTATGGAACACCAGAGGGGTTGTGCACTTTGTTGTGCTCACCAATGGCCTTCTGGACCTCATCTCCCAAAGTAGGAAAGGTGGCTGTCACTTTGTCGAGCCAGTCCTGGCATAACAAACATATGCTCAATTGACATTAAAAAAACAAAACGAATGTGATTGTTGAAAAAAACAGTCCTGCCGCACTGGTAGATGACCACTTGCATTTGGGCAGGTCACAACATAGTGCGCCTCATTGTAAATTGGTGGGCTCACAGCAGTCTGCTCATTGGCTTCTGGCATGGTGAAGCCTGCTACCTTCAATCGACCACTGCGCAGTTCTCCTTCTATGTGGGTTTTGAGAGACTGTCGGCAAAAAGCTTCAATTCGCAGGTTGTCTGGCTTGTCACCTTCACCATCATCAATAGAACCCAAATTCGCCCAAATGGGAGCAATGGAAGCAAACTCAGGCAGTTTGCCTGCACTGGAATGGAAATTCGTGATGCACTTTTGAAGTGTGCCGTCATAAGGGTGAAGATCGACGACAAAAATCACCCAGGATTTGTCCAAAGACAGCCATTCCACAGCTGACTGCAAGACAGTGCGCCAAAAACCTTCTCCTGTGGCCCACTGCTTGGAGCGAGCTGCTTTGGAAATGTTGGCGCCACCAAGTGGCCGAGCAATGGGTGAGCACGGGTTCACCCATGATGTGCGTGGCAACACTGGGCATTCCGCGACTGTACGCTTTCGCACCTGGAGGAAGCAACCATTCCATTTGGAGATGAGCTCGCCTTTTGCATTCCGGACCTTGGAAACCACAAACCAAAAAGTGGTTCCACCTGGCCTCTTAGATTTGCCACATCCAACCGATTCTTCTGAAAATGAAATGAAGCCGCGGGTGGCTCGAAGGTTGTAGGTGTCTTCCCGCAGCATTGCGTCCAGTTCATCCTCTGATTCTTGAATCTTCAGCATGTCGTATGCATCCCCTGGCTTCCCAACGTTTGGGGCAAACACTATGGCTGCCACATTCTCAGGTGCAGCGCCAACTGCATTGGCAATGACGGAGACAGTGGGCTTTGCGTTTGCAAACCAATGGAGGCCCAGCTTGTCAAAGCAAGCAATGTGAAGCTGTAAGGCTTTGCTGCTGGAAATCCCCTCACTTTCTGCAAAGGAGACCATGACTTCATTGACATAGGGCAGAACCCCAGATTCACTGGTGCGCCTGCATGGCATCCAGTGGTTTGAGAAAGTGTCTGTTGCAGCAGCCAAGGCTTGCTTCAGGCACAAGTTTGCAGCAACCTTTTCCTCATGCTGCCTTGCATGGAACAGTTGCAGCTGCCGGGTGTAGTCAGAAAACATAGCGGCCTCTTTTGCCAGCCTGGATTGAAACAAATTGAATTCAGCCTGCTCTTTCGCGCGCTCAGCTTCCTGTGTTCCATCACCAAGAACCGAGGAACCAAGAACCGAAGACCACTGACCAGAGACCTGCTGAATGAATCGAAAATCCGTTGCCTTGAGCTCTGGCTCCATCAGCTTGAGCTTCTCCTCAAGTTCCTTGTTCAAGTAACCCTTGCTGAAGCGCGCAATCAGATCATCCAACTGGGTGTTTGTGACATGAGACTTCCATTCTGGAAGGAAATGGCCGAAAAGAGAAGCCTGGTCATGGGCCAATGGATCTTTGAAGTTTGAGCGAAACCTGTTGGCCATACTTTTCAAGGATACGTTCTTGCCTGCCATCTGGGCTTCTTTCAAATTCTTCAGGAAAATTCCAATCGCCCGAAGCAACCAGTAGTAGTTCTTAGCTGGGGTCCACTTCAAGATGTTTGTCCACAAGGCTTTGCCACCAGAACGAATCTGCTTTGTGTCTGGTGAGAGGTCTGGATTTGCCCAAATTTTCAAAGGGACTGCGGATTCAGCAACCTTGAAATTTTGCCAATGGTACTCCAGAAGCTCAGTGAACTCCGGGGCTTGGTGGACATACAGCTTGATGAACGCCTTTTCTTGTTGTGAAATTGCTACAGCTTCTGTGCGCCCTTTGTTGTATGCCTGAATGCGTTGGTCAATGACAGCAGCAAAATTCAAACCCTGACCACGCAGCAGGTCTGACCATTTGCAAGCTACCATCAGAGGGTCTGGTCGGGATCGCTCAGCCATTTGACTTTTGAAACCCAAGCTTCGCATGAACTGCTGCTCCTCTGTGGCAGATGGTTCATAAGTGGCCTTCATCCGCAGCAAGGCTTTCAAGACATCTGAAATTGCCACAAGCTCAAGATCACTGAGGCCAAGCCGCAGGGTGCATTCCAAAATGATTCGGCATGCGCTACTTTTTCCCATTCCAATCGCATGAACCATGGACCAATCAACCACAGGTTCACCAGGGCGGGCCCCTGGAGAAAACAGCAAGTCAAGCGGTTCCCTTTCAGAACGATATGGGCTGGCCAAGAAATTTGACACAGTATCCAAGATGTACACGATCTTGGACGGGCCCTTGACTGAATCCTCAGCTGCAAGCCCAAGCTGCCAAGGGGCAACCACAAAACTTTGGATCTGGCCAGCATTGAAAGGAAGCACTGTGTCAACTGCAGCTGGCGGAACCCAGCCTGTCAAGGCCTTGAGACGGTTTTCCAAGCCGTGAAGGTCAGAAAGCAGCTTGGAGCGCTCTGCAGAGCCAGGTGGGTAAGTCTGCAAAAAGTATTGGTGAAACGACTTGGCATCTTGTGCTTCGATATCCCCAGAGCCACAGAAGGTCTCTTCAGCCAGTTTCACAATCTTCTCTTTGACAGCTGCTTCAGCTGCTGCCATGGCTTCAGTGGGGGAAAGCTAACCAAGTAGCAACAGTGTATGTATTTGACATGGATGTCATGGATTCTTTCATCGTAATCACTATTTTGCATATATTTGTTCCAAGACTTTTCCTATCTGAGCCACCCGCAGAAATTGCAAAAAAAACAAGAAATCTGTGGGCTACGCGCCCCCCCTAGCCACCCTGAAGCATGAACACTTCAAATTGGGCCACCTTGACTTTGCTACCTTCACTCTCCCAATTCAGGGGGTGGCACATACGGGATGACTTACCTTGTGGGCTGCTGGCCCCCCCTAGTCACCTCTTAAAGCTATTGCTTCCCATGAAAGATCTGTGGGTTGCTGACAAAGGGAAGTGGCTATTTTAAAGGAAAACCATCGCAACTTCTATTTTTACCATTGACAAAATGCATTATGACATACGGGCCTGGAAAGCCACAAAATTGCATTAGGACATACGGGAGGTTTGGGGCTACGCGGTACCCGGCGTCGCCCCGAAACAAAAAAGCATTAAAGACATACGGGCCGCCCCGAAACAAAAAAAGCATTAAGACATACGGGAAATGCAAAAACGCATTAAGACATACGGGAAATGCAAAAAAAGCATCAAGACATACGGGGGAAAAGCATTAACACACACGGGAAATGTTTTTTTTTGAAAGCATCAAGATATACGGGAATTTAAATGCAGTAACATATGTGCCATGACAAAAGGAAAGGCATACAGGGAATACAACACAACGTTACCTCCTGGAATCTTTGACACCTTTGGACTGTCAACCTTCGTGCAGAAGCCAAGGCCTGAGGCAACTTATGTTACATTGAAAGCAGTTTCAATACCAGAGAAACCAAGGACCAAAGACCAAATCTCGAAACTTCAATCAAATTGTCGCTCAAATCTAAATCCAGTCCTGTCACAACATGCTACTGCCTTAATGATGCATCTTGCAAGAATGGCAATATTTTTTCTCTGGATTGCGTGTGCCATGACTGATCAGCCAACCACCCAGTGAATCACAAGTGTTTCCCCATGATCACAGTTACAAATCAGCGTGCCCCAAGCCAACTTTGTACAGCCCTACACTTTGTGACTGCTGGTGAGCAATCAGCTGATAACTTCAGATCCAATTCAAATCTTCAGGACCAATGGGCTGGACCATGGACCAAAGACCTGAAACCAGAAACCAACAACCAAGAACCAAGAAGGCATCAGTGCTCAGGTGCCTCCACATAGACATGCGGCGTGCCATTCTCCAACATCAGCTCTTGGTCACTGGTGAGCATGTCCAAGCGCACAGGTTCTGTTGTGCCATGAAACAAGATCCATTTCGTCCCCTCTGTGGGTTTTGGAACCTCTGCACTGGCCTTGGCACTGGCTTTGCTCTTGCCTTCATTGCCAGGGCGTTCCTTCCAAGCCTTTGCTGCCAACTTCATGCGTTCACCTCCTTGGACACCTTCCTTTGCCAACTCAGCCATCTTCTGCTGCATGAATCCCCAGTACTCTCCTTGGGTTTCACTGGCGCCCTTTCCTTTCCTCTTCCGGTCACCAGGAATGGGCTTGGATTTGGTCTCATGGTACAACTCCTTCATTTTCAGGAAAACCGCGAGCTTCTGAGGGTTGCTTGGGGGACGCCGGCCAGCGAAAGTGCCCTTGGTGTTTCGGGCTGCTCTTGTTTGGCCTTGGCCTTGGCCTTGGCTTTGCTGTTGGCCTTGACCTTTGGCCTTGGCCTTGGCCTTGGCCTTGGGCTGAGCTGCTGTCGTTTCCTCGGGGTGAGCTGCTGCAGCCACTGGAGGGTCTTCAAAACCTGGGACCGAAGGACCTGGGACCAAAGACGCAGGAACCAAAGACCCCGGGACCGAAGACCCAGAGACCGCTGAAGACCCAGTTGCAGGGACAGAATCACCTGAGCCACTTGGCTCTGACTTCTTGGGGTCACTGCGGCAGGCAAGACCACGACCGCGGCCTTTACCACGACCGCGGCCCGAGCTCTTGCCAGAAACCTGTCATTCCAACAAGGATCAGGCCCACAAAACATATGTTAAAAAATGCCAAAATCAAAATGTCCACACGCACATACACACGCCTTGGGTTCAATGTCATCCTGTTTCTCATCACCCTCCATGGATGGAACCTGCCATCGCCAAATGAAAAAGGCATTGAAAACTTGAAAACGTGTCAGCTTGCTGATGCAACAGAGTGATTTTAAAAAACATATGTCAAATATCTGGCCTTGGTAATCCCGGTCTGTGGTGTTGCTGGCAGACCTTTCAAGGTCAGAGACACCTTGTCCTTCTCCAAGCGAGCAATGGCTTTTGCCCGGAGGGCAGGATATCAATCTTGATCTCCTCCTTGGGGATCTTGGGAGGCTTCTCATCTGGCAACTTCGGAACCTGCTGCCAAAACTTCCTGTCAGGATTGTAAGACCTGGTGATGATCTCAGTGCATTTTTCCTCTGGAGCCTGCAGCGGTCCAATGGCATCTTCAGACACAGTGGCCTCCTGATAAAGATCATTGCCATTTCGGAAGGCACGGCTAGCCATAGCAGTGATGCTACTGAATTACCAAAACACAAATGCAGTGTTCTGTCACTGCAAACCACAAAACGCCAAAATGACCCAAATGGCTCCAGAATGAGCAATGGCTTTTGACTTGGAACCAAAACAGTTTTCCCAGTGTTGGGGCGCAAAGAACTGAAAAACACACTATATATATACACACTATATTTTATATGTTTATATTTATAACAAGGACCGAGGACCAAAAACCGAAGACCGAAGACCATAAACCAAGGACCGCAAACCAAGGACCATAAACACCAAAGTGTTCAAAAGCACTTGGTGAAACAAGAGCATGACAAATCTAAGTTGCTGATACAAAAACTGCAAACATGAACCAACCCACCCCCCAATATACTTCCTGCCTGGCAAAGGCTGTAGATGGCGCAGCACCTACCAAGGGCTAGGATGGTATAATGTCACATGGGACATGGACCCTCTGAAACCCAAGTGCTCTGAAAAGTTAGGACCTGTGAAAACCGAGGACCTGTGGAAAAAAAGTTTTATGAAGACTCTGAAAGCTGAGATGCCGAGGATTGCCGATTCAAGATTCCGAGGCACTGCCCACTACTGCTAAACCGATCACTTTGTTTTACTGCGCAGCATTGGTCAATGGCTTGAATTGCTGCGAAAATGGAAGACATACATGTGCACCTGGTGTGCACAGAACCTGCCGTCTGCAGGTGTGGCGTGACCATGGCGTCTGGCGCATCCTGGGCTATATTTAGAAATTTGATGAACCAATGAAATCTTTATGAACAAAAGACCCCAAAACCCAGGACCCAGGACCTAAAAACCAAGGACCAAGGACCCAGGACCCAGACCCAGGATGCAGAACCCAGGACCATGGGCAAAAATCAGCTCCATTGATTCCACTGCTGATCCGACTGGCGTCTCGGGGTCTGCGAGCGTCCACGGCTAGCTGCCCCAGCCGAAGGTGCACGGCTGCTGGCAGCTGCTGTGGCATTCGGACGGGCAAGCATGGCCTCCTTGATCTCAGTGGGGACCTCCACGCAGCGGATCAAATGGCGATCCTGTCAAATCTCTGATGGAAAAATGGAATCACATGAAATGCAATCTTTGAAAACAACAACAGCAACAACAACAACAACAACAACCACAGCAGCAGCAGCAGCAACAACAACAACAACAACAACAAGCAAAAAAAAACAATTGCATAGCCACAACCACCACCAAATGGGAGCTATAGGCCCTCTCCCCGAAATAAATTGGGCATCCATGTCTATGTATAGGAGGTGGTCTGGAATTCCTCATATATTTTCCTGTTGCAAGTATCCCAATCATCCCAGTGGTCATGTATATCCCTTGCAGTCCCATTAGATCCCAAGTATATATAGTGGATAGTTTAAAAACAACACCAACAGCAACAACATCACAAGTTTTGATCACCAGTCCTGCTGGCGACGCCCTTGTTGGGTTGGCGGCTTCTGAAACCACAGCACCATGGTTGTTTGCACTTCGCCATCAGTGCCCACAGTCATGACCGAGGAACGGGGAGTCATCCCATCATACTGGTGATAGGAGATGGCAAGGGTGCGGCCACCTTCGGCAAACCCAAATCAATTGCCAAATAAATTTGAAAACAACGTAAAAAAATGAGCATATGTCTACAAGTATCTTTCCTGACATGTGCTTTTGCATTAAAAAAAACCTGCCTTCATCTGGCACAGCTTCATTCAGGTTGGTGGGGTCATGGCTGGCTGCATTCAAACCACACTTGTACCAACGGATGCTGTCTGCTGTGGCACTGAGACCGTCACCAATCACCTGGCTCATCAGCACATAGTACCAACCGTCCATTGCAACCCACCAAGTCTGAGCATTTGTGCCGGGAGGGCCAATCAAACCCAAAGCACTTGCAGAGAGGAACTTGTGAGGGTCCGTGCACACTTGCATGTAGATCTGGCCAATGATCTGCGGCAAAGTATACATTGGCCGTGTGTTTTCGCGGAGCCTCAGGAAACATCCTGCAGTCTGGGGAACCAGGGAAACCCGCTCAAATGCCGTTTGCAGCAGACCTTTGTTGTAGTTCTCAATCTCCTGGTCCATTGCATGTCGTTCTTGCGTCTGATTTGCTGGAAGGCACCGAGGGACCGAAGACCTAGGACCACCCTGCCACACCCTGCCCTGGAGGAGGCTGTCCTTCAAGAAACTCAAGTACCAGTTGCCATGGGCATAATAGTCCACGTCCCCATCATCCGCTGGCAAGAGCTCTTGAATTTCAAAGCCTCCTCTCTGCACCCGGGTCTTGAATTTCAAGGGCCTCCTTTGGCTGACCCACATGGCTAGGGCCGGTCCCCAGACCATTTCACCTTTCAGTATGTGATAGACCCACTGTCGGCTGATGCGAAGCCCCAAGCGGACGAGCTCATCGAGTTGGGCGGCTTGGCTCAGCACATAATCCAACCCCTCTTGGACAGCTGTGGCCAGAAGCTGCTGATCCCTGAGCTGATGATGAAACACAAGCACCACATCCATTCTCACATGAACCCTGCGCAAAAAAACATTTGGTGTAATGCTTTGAATATGTGTGGTGCAAAAAAAACAGCAGAAAGTTTTGAAGGGGTAGTGCAAAAGTTGAAATCAGAACTGAGTGGCTTGGTCCAAATTGCGGAGTTGTAGATCTGCGATTTATTGTCGTACTGGTTGGTGCTGTAGTCAAACCCAAGTGCAAGGGCTGACACACTGGCCTGACCATCCAATGGCAGACCATTCGGGACCTGCCCAGAGTTCAGGTATTCCTCGACAGACTGGGGTGTCCACTCAAAGATCCTGATGTCAACCATGAACCTGGCACACAGCGCTGATGCATTCATGGCGGCCCCACCCGCATATGCTTGTGGCACTGATGATGCGCTTGTCATATTGCTGCGGGGCTTCACACCAAGTGGACCTCGAGCACCGACCTGAGAAACACTGTCATAGAAGCTAACATCATCAACCTCCATCTTGCTGTATGCAGCTCCAGGACCTTTGGACCCAGGACCGCCAGACCCAGGACCTGTGGACCTAGGACCTGTAGACCGAGGACCTCCAGTGGTGTGAGCTGGGTGACGTTCAGGAGATTGAGGTCTTCGAGCTCCAGGAACCAGAGTTGCAGTCTCATCTGCAGCGGGCATGAGGCTGACTTGATCTTTGGTGAAATTGGTCACTCCATCAAGATTCTGGAAAGCTTCTGAACTGCCGAGAACCTGCCAAGAGCGGCCCTCACTGTGCAAGGATCTGCGCTCATGCAAGCCAGAAGCAATGGTACTTCCACCACCCAAGGCAATGGAACGCATGCGCAAGACAGCGCCAACCTTCTTCTTTGAATTTGGCAGTGAAACGTCCTTGATCAAAGAACCTGTCTCAGCAAGCTTCCAAGAGCATGAGCCAATCAGAGCTGGCTCCGACTCTTCCCAGCCAGGCTTGGGCACTTGTGTGAAGGTCACCTAGCAAGAGTGATGTGTGAATGTGAAACCAAACCAACCAAAACCAAACCAAACCAACATCGGTTAAAAACGGCACCCCCTTTTAAGCAAAAACCAGACCTGCACAGTGGCATCAGGAGAAGGTGATCGCAACAAAACACTGTAGTTCAAGGCCATGTTGGTTTCCATCTCTGCAACAGATTGGGCCCACAAGACCTTCTCATCCAACAGAAGCCGGATTTCCATCTGGCAGGTCAGCTTGTCATGGGTCCTGATCCAGGGGAATGAATAACCCATGAAGGAAAAACCAAGAACTTGCCAACAACAGGTGAAACAACTGGTCAAACAACATGTGAAACAACAGGTTGAAATGCATTTTTCAAATCCAATCCTCCAAGCGCAACCATGGAAACTGTCCAGCTTCAACTCATAGACTATGCCAGAGTCATCACCCAGAAGGGATTGGGCTGAGGCGGACATGCTGCTCAACTGAAATCTGTTCGGAGCAACAGTCAAATGCTTGGTCCAAAAAAACCTTGCACATGAAATCATTCAGATAAAGGAAATTAGTATGAATGAATATCATTTTGATGACCCTTACTACCCACCAAGGACCATTGTTTACCAAGTATGATGGTCAAAGGCATTACTTAGGACCAAGGACTGAGGACCAAGAGCCAAGTCAACCTTGTATGTTTTAATCTGTCCTATCCCCCATGTGGTTGTCTCACTACCTCACTTTGTTTTTGTTAGGCTTCACGATTTTACTAAATGTGTGTGTGTGCGTGTGCGGCGATATGTGGCTCAAAGGAAGTTGTTGGTGTAATTGTTGCAGAAATGCCCACAACGCTTTTCCATCTTTACAAGCGAACCATTTGAAGCACATCTTGACACAGAGTATTTGTGCTTAGTTCAGAGGTTTTTGGGTTTCCTGGTTCTTGGTCTTTGGTTCTTGGTCTTTGGTTCTTGGGTTCTTGGTCCAAGCAATGGCCAATAAGAAGGCTATGAAGACTCAAGTGAAGAGAGGCGCAAAGGCGAGCCAAGATCGAAATAATAAAGCATATGTCTATGGCAGGGTAAGTTCAAAGAAGCAGATTGATGGAACTGGGTTCCCACGTCAGAAGCAAGCTGCACTGCAGCGAGCCAAGCTGGTGGTTGGGAAAAGGATGAACATTCCCACATGCAATGAAGTTATCAGTGGAACCAAACCATTGGAACAACGCAAGATCTTGGGCACACTCATGTCCCAGAACAACATCAAGATATTTGTGGAAAATGCACGAGCTATCGCAAGAACAGCCAAGGTTGGTGAAGACATCTATGAAGTGGCAAAAGCAAAGGGCATTGAGATCATTGCTGATGACATTCCGAACCTCTTTGCACTAAAACCCAGGCCAGTGGAGACCTTTGTGAGGCTAGTCACCTTGGCAGTATACCAACTTGAACGAGACCTCATTGTGGAAAGGTTGACCAAGGGCCTTGCATTGGCCAAGAAAAGATCCAAGAGAACAACGCAGTTCGGTGAGGCAAAGGTCAATGGCACAAGGTCGCACTTGGAAAAGAAGACCCCATCGAAGAAGCAAATGAAGAAACTACGGGCAGTCGTCAAGAAGCAGAAGCGCGCCAAAATTTCATGGAGGGAGACTCAGAAAGAATTCAGGACAATCCTCCGGAAACCAAAATTGGGCCTGGATACAGTCAGGCGCATGGTGCAGGAGTTGGAGCTGAAACACTTTTGATTAAGACCTTGGTCCTTTGGTAGCTACCAGTCGGACTGTACAAGCTAATGCATTGCGAAAAACAGAGCCAAGCGCTGTACTGGGTTGTGGGGCTGAAAAATCTAAGCTATTCACAGGTTCTGCTTTAGGTTTTTTGATCCACTTACAATGAAACTTGTTTCTTTTGGATTTTTTCTGATTACTGAATGAAAAAAACGCAAGTTTCCCACATTTTGAGCCTGTTCCTGAACTGGTGGTTTGTGGTTCGCGGTTTCTTTCCGGAACGGTTTCCGGAACGCTTTTTGCATGTTGTAGTTTGCACAAACTGATCCATGCTCTGACCCAAGACCAAAGACCGAGAACCAAGGAAGTACAGTTACAACATGTTTGGGACCCCGGCCACAATCCCATCCGGGAGGCGCCTCGTGTGCTGCTGCTGCTGCTGCGCACTGGCAGGCAAGGCTGGCGCAGGCAATTGGACCGAAGACCAAAGACCAATGACCAAAGAACCGAAGACCTTGAACTGCGATACTTGAAATATACGGGATTACCGATTGTGAGAAGCACGGTTTGACGGTTTTGGTCCTTGGTCTTAGGTTTGGGGAGTTACTGTCATTGTCGCTTTTCCAAACAAGAAGTGCTTCCCCCATGCAGTTAACATGAAGCAGCAAATCCGGCTGCAACGCACACAAAATCTATTAATTACAACCTACAACTGATCCAACACATTGTCACAATTCGCCCGGGGCATGGCCATGCCAGGAAAAGACTAATAATAGGACTTGTCATTGTGGATGGGAAATGGAACATTGACCATGATCTTGATAGCTAGGGGATTGTAGATGGGTGCCATGATGATGATTATGGTGCTGATGGTGACACTGGCCATGGTGATGCTGACGGTGACAACGAACACGAGAATGAAAATTACAGTGATGATGATGGTGGTGATGATGATGGTCATGACGATGCTGCTGATGATGATGATGGTGATGATGGTGATGATGATGATGATGATGATGATGACAATGGCAGTGACTACCATGAAGTCACCCCAGGCAATGGGTGGTGGAACACATGCTATCAGCAGCTATGTATATCATGGGCTTTGATACAACTTCATCCTAACTTTGACCTGATTTATAGAGATACATAATGCCAATAAATACCCTTATTATCACCCCTTGGTTCTATATGTTCGCTTTTGCATCCAAATGTACACCTATTGTGGTTTTCCATTCGTTAAAAAACAACGGGCCGTGTCTGTTGCCACTACCACTGCCTACCGCTCCTAGCTGCAGTGGAAAGAAAGAATAGTTCAAGGGGGGAATAATTGGTACCTGAAAGATGTTGTCAACATGGCATCCCAATGCATCCAGCATCCTATGGTCCAACTGGTTTCAGAAGGTGCCCTATATGCCATTGCTAGGCCCCAATTTATAGCAGCTTCTTTCTATATCTGAGAACCTTCATGGAAGAGTATATATCCAAACCTGTAAAACGGCTGTGTGCAATGGCTGATGCAGCTCATAGCTTACCAAAATTTGTGCAAGATAAATTGTTACCACCATAGCCTTTGCAGATTGTTGTTCCTGGCGCTATCGCGATGTAACTTCTGTGTGGTACCTCCAGAAAATTTAGTGGTTCCATTCTGCTCGAATAATTTTTCCTCATTAGCCAGATTCCTGGTCCATTGCATGCCCAATGACAACCATCCAAGATTGCCTCTGGTTGGCCAAGGGCTACGGGTGCGAGTGGATGGATAACATGTGCACAGTCATGAGCACTTGTTGCCGCAATCGATTTGATGAGGGAAGGAGGAGGCTGAATGAAGGAATGAATGACTCTTGGTGCTGCGAGCTGTAGCTAATGTGGTGCGCTCCTAATGTGGCAGCGAGCGTCTGGCGCAGGGCATGTGAAGCGCACGCATTGGGGTGATGGCGAGTTTCAAGGTCCTTCGCTCGGCGCTCATGTTTGGTCTTTGGTCTCCTTGTCCTTGGTCTTTGGTCCTTGGTCTTTGGTCCTTGGTCTTTGGTCTTGGGGTCTCAGGGTCTAAGACTTAGATTTTTCTAATCTACTGGTCTTTTCCTTTTATGGGAGTTTAAGCTCGACTTGACTTTGCTGTTGTATCTGTCATACATTTACTGCCACACTGCATCCATGGTGGCTAAAGTCTTCTGCACATGATTTTTTTTCGCGAAAACCAATGACAAGCCGATTCCCAATCAGTATCGCTTTGACTTTGCGCTGGTTCCCGTGATCTGAGTTGAAAGGAATGATGACGGCATGGGTGCATGGTAGCTTAGTTTTTTTGGCGCTCGCTATTCGGGAGGATGCAGGGCGGCTTTGTACTGGTATGCTTTTTGGTGACAAAGCGTTTGTGGGCGCTTGTGGCTGCAAGGCGTATAGAATGTGGCGGTCCTTGGTCTTATTCTTTGTGGCTACCGCTTGTTACTACTAGTCTAATTTAGTGGATTTATTTTGCGAAACTATGGCGATCCTTCCCTTCTGACCCCAGTTGTTGCGTTTATAGTATGCAGCTCTCCCTCTATATGATCTGCATGATTGGGGTGGCGCAGCATCCAACGGACATTTCCATGTCCATTCAAACGAAAGTGTCAATTGTCCACAATGTTTGCACGTGGTTGCTCTATCTTCAAGGATGAGGTGAGTCTCTGGTGACATCAAAGACATCAAGGGCCAACAGCCCGTGTGTTTGTCGAAGCTTGCGTCTCATGTAATGTTGCATGTTGTTGCTGTGATCTGAATGATAGGAAGGACAAGGGATTGATGTCTTTGGTTGCTCGCATTTGGCGCATGCGCGGTGGCTAGAATTGGCGGCGGAAGCTTGGGCAGTGATGCGTGGGATTGCAAATTGGCCAGTAATAGTGAATCTCCTATCAGCCATTTTCACTGGGTCCATCTATCCCCATTGATCCTTTTACCTTTAGCTTTCATCCCTCCTCTGTGCAGTGGATATAACTTGTATTTTTCAATCCTGGCTTGGTTCATGCAAATCATATCTTGCAAAATCAAGGCCCCAGTTGCAAAAACCAAAGCCCCAGTTACCATGAACAGAGTTTAATGGCTGCATGATTGTTGTCATCTGGTGTTGCCATGTGCGTAGATACGTGCAGGTTTGCGACGTGATGTTGCCAAACGCATTGTAATGGCTGCACGCATGTTGCATGGGCTTTCTTTTGGGGAGAAACCGAACCACGAAACCTTGTGTTTTTTCGTGTAAATTTTAAAGTGCCTTCCGCCGGCGATGAAAGGTACCTCCTCTGTGCGGCGGTTACGGCTCCGGTCGTTTCATCTGCGAATGTGTTCCCCTCTGTGTTCTGCAACGAGTGGTTGTTCCTGTGCGTATTTGTATGCGTGTCTTGAATCTGAGGTTGCAGATCGCAGTGGAATGGCTGCATGATTGTTGTCATCTGGTGTTGCCATGTGCATAGATACGTGCAGGTTTGCGACGTGATGCTGCGAAACACATTGTAATGGCTGCATGACTGTTGCATGGGGCTTGTG